ACTGATGGATTGCTAGTACTATACTTCTACTAAATAATAAGACATTCTATGTAGATGTCACCATTCTGTAGACCTAGCTGTTCACACGGAAGGTGTCCGTAGGCTTCTCCGCCAGTAGTATGACATTCTGCGTTTCTGGATGCTCACTAGCATCGGTCCCATGCTCATTATTAGATTCATCATGTGCTCCTTCTGGGTTTTCGACACAATCTGCCACACTTCAAGCCATAGTGTTGTTTTAGACTGATTAGAAGGTTGTCGGCTTATAATCGGAGATAGGTAGCCTGTGAATTGACTCATAAGAGCACACCTTTGTCCTTTCATTTATTGTCCACGCATTTTGCACACGAATCTATATGACAATCTAGTCTAAATCTACCACGTATACCTCATATGCACTAGATCTGGTACATAAGGCCATAAGAAAATTGTAATGACTGCAGCTGCATGAGGAGGACGTAACCAATCCCAGGTTAGGCTACGTAGAATGCTTGCGTAGCTGCAGTTGAGGACTTCGACCCAGTTACCCTTGGGTTTGTATGTCAGCACCACAGCCAACGTTAATCCTCTCTCTCATTCCGCAACTCCAATTCAGCGGCCCCAGCAGCAGGGCTCCCCTGTTGCCTTGACCGGTCGGCCCCCAGCACGGCGCCCTCATTCTCAGTCCGAAGCTTATGCGCTCGCACGAACAAATTAAGGACGGTAGCCAGTCCAGCAAATGCCACATACTAATAGCACACAGGGCATAACATTAGCACAGATGCACTGAAGGTTTTGAAAGAGAGCAATGCGGCGTGTTGATATATCGCAATGACCTACCATGACCCACACCATTCTCAACGCCTCAAAGTACGTCTTCCTGACCAAGGCCTCTTGAACTGCATCTAGTCCAAGAGTGCTAATCTCCTCCACATTCGAAGCGGCATTGTCGCCGTTGAATTCGTTGGCCAAAGTAGAGTTGGAACCCAGCTGGCTTGCTAACCCCTCGTTTTTCGCATTCATCTCATTCTGAAACACCACACCCCCGACAACAACCGAAATAGCCGTAGAGAGAGACCGGACAAACCCCATTGTCGCAGTGACAGCTGCTGTATCCCGGATACTGGTTGCCGCCTGAGCAGCAAGGATCGGCGCTTCAATGTTCATGCCTACACCGATACCGACTAGGATCTGGAAGATGACCAGTTTGGTGATATTAGCTTCAAACTCAAGACTAATTAGTAGACCGGAGCCGAGGACTAAAAAGCCCTGGGCGATATACATCACCGGGAGATATTTCCCGGTCTGCTGCATGAAGATCCCGGCTGCGGCCGCGGCCAGGGAACATGAGACAATTAGTGGTAGAAGGTAGAGGCCTGATCTTAACGCGCTTGCGGCCAGGACGGACTGAGCATATAAGGGCAGGTAATATGCTTGTCCAATAAAAACGTATGAATTACACGCGAAGACAACGTAAGGCGCTATCATGGTTGGCGAGGTGAACAGCCAAACTGGAATAATTGGGTTCTTAGCAATCTTCCATTCGTTAACCACGAACAGCGCCATCACTGCCGTTCCGAAAACCAATAGACAAATGACGGTTGCAGAAGACCAGGAGTAGACAACGTCGCCAAAGTCAAGGGCAAGGAGGACCATTAAAGAGCCGCCTATAATCAAAAGACTGCCTGTCCAGTCAATGACTTTCAGGCCGGCGGCAATGGGCGTTCGAGGGCTCGGAACCCTCATGAAGAAGAGCAAGACCAGGAAGGAGACGGCTCCGACTGGTACTATACAGTCGAGAAAGTCAGCTAAGGGCCATCAGGTTAGATGAAAATGTCTTACAGTTAATCCAAAAACACCATCTCCAGGTGAGCCTCGATGTGAAAACGCCACCCAGAACAGGCCCTATGGCACTGCCAACTGCCCATACGAGCGAAGTGATTGCGAGATACAACCCCCGATCTCGTAGCGAAAACATATCGCTGACAACAATATTGACCATGATCCCCATTCCGGAGCCGCCTAATCCTTGAATCGCCCGCCCCGCGATCAGAGCATCCATATGCGGCGCAAGGGCACAGACAAGACTGCCGACAAGGAAAACGGCGACTGCAGTGAGCATAATGGGTTTTCGGCCCCAGATGTCGGAGACCGAGCCCCATACTGGCGTAATGGCCGCGTAGGCCAGGGTATAAGCGCTTCCCACCCAAATATAGCTGGCCGAAGATTTGAACGTGCCAACTATAGCAGGAATTGCAGGAGTAACAATTGTTAAGTCAAGAGCGGAGAGGAGCACCGACAAACAAAGCGACATCATAGTCCACGCAATTGTGGTAGTGGTGAGATGCGCCCCAGGCTCCCTGGATGGGGAGGGTGCGGGCGCGGGAGTGGCATTGTCAAGATTGCTGCCAGTCGCATCAGTGCGGGAATTAGACGTTGAGGAAACTCTAGCAAGCCCGCGAGCCTTGGACATTGTCAGGGAGAAGTGGAGAGGAGAGTTTACCACTAGATTGGGGTATCAAGGGAGGAGGGGAAAGCAGATGGAGGAGAGGACGTCTTATAAAGAAGGATTACCCCCCCGGTCCTGTCACCTGACCTGGCTGTGTTTACAATGAGAGCAGTACTAATATCATGTATATTATAATCCCCATTAGGACAATCTCGATCATCTTAGGGCAAAAATCTTGCTATCTATATCATTCTACGGTCCAAATACTCCCACATCTTCCTGTACTCCCCGCCACGTAATCTTCACTTTCATACCAAAATGGGCTGTCAGCCCATGGTTAACCCATCGAAAGGGCTCAACCGGATCGACCATGGCAAAGTCACACCGCCGAAAGAGCTGTAGAACAAATCATTAGAGTGAGGAATTGGAATACCTAGGAGATGGCACCTACCTCGAAAATCGTCTTTCCCAGCTCTATGTACGCAAGCCGCTTCCCCAAGCACTCCCATCTTGTTCCAGTCGCAAATACCAGTCCGTACGAGGCATCCATGTCCTTTTTCTTTTCCACTGGTGCGTCAATCCAGCGTTGCGGCTCATATACATCTGCATCATCTCCAAAAATGTCTCTATTTCTCATAATTGCCAGCGCCGACCAAGCAACTTGAGTGTTTGCAGGGACCCTAAAGCCACAGATCGTATCATCGCGCGGACACACCTTACCCATAAGACCCATACTGGGTGGGAATATCCGTAAACCTTCTTTGATGCATGCCTGGAGGTAGGGAAGGGCTTTGGCCTCGGCGTCTCTGATCACTGGGCTTGTGACGGTCTTTACAGCACCGTCAATCTCAGATTGAAGCGCGCGGTATGCTCGAGGGTTGGTCGACAAGTAGAAGATAATATTCCTCAGGGCAGTAGACGTGGTGTCTGTTCCGCCAAAGACAGTCACAAGAGCTTCGGACTCGACTTGGGGCCTGCCCAAACCGGATTTGACGAAGGACTGGAGGATATCAGTGTGATTGATTTTTAGGTCATCGTATCGCTCGTCAACAAGGTCCTTAATGTAGCCGAGAAACCGGCCAACTCCGCTGCGGTCATGGGGCTTGGGGTGAAAGGGTTTTAGCAGACGACTTTCCAGAATCATTCTGAGAGTTGGGAGCAGGGTAACCATATGGACGGGTCTGTGGAGATTCTCGGACGTTTCTAGGATCCCATGTATGTCGCTATTCGCTTCCAAGTAGCCGGCTGGTTTGCCAAATCCGACGGCCGTGATGACATCTTGCGTCAAATACTGCATCGTTCGAGCTAGATCGCATGGTCGCAAGGCTGTTTGGGTGGAGATATATCGCTGCTTGATTAGTGCGATGAGATTTTCGATCTGTTCGTCGACAAGCTGTTCCTCATTTGTGATCCCCTTGCCTCCGTACCCCGGCATGAGGTGGCTTCGGAGCCGGTGGTGCTCCTTGTTATCAATGACCGACAAGACGTTGTTCACCTCGCTGTTCAGACGGACAGCCTTGTACCAATCCGAGCGGTGATAGCCAGAGTTGATTCCCCATATTCGGCGGATTTCAGCGGGATCACCGCACAGCACCCACTTTGGGCCGATGCGGACAAGGGGACCTGGAAAAGGACACCAGTCAGGGTAAATTGTTCACAAGGCAGGAGGCTGTTCTCACCATGTTCTCTGCAAGCATTATAGAGGCTGTCACAGAGCCTGCCAGACCAAGCCTGTCTTACCAACCACAACTTTGTCCACCCGGTTCCTGGAGGTCCTGCAATGTGCCGCAAACGATTCCATTGGTAGACTCGTTGCCCAAGGAAATACACCAGAAACCAGAGAGCCCCAAAAAGCCAAACATGAGAGGCCAGCATGATCCAGGGGTTATGATCTGTTTGTTGGATCGAACCTCGCAAGTCTTCCGCTTGCGCGTAACAATTCGAGGACACGCAAAAGAACAATGGACGGGACATCCACTGCATCATTGAGCACCGTCTGCTAGCAGTAAGTAAAGCAAATGCTGTATTATATTTGCATGGCTTTCTTTTTGCAAAATGAGATTTGCTGCCAGTCTAGACACACAGCTTACGCCGCAAATACACACTATAGACTAATCAATATCGGGTGCTTATCGCGTCACTTTGATGCATCATGCCATGCAACGCCGTCATCTATCTTACCCTAACTTGCAGCCAACTCCTCTCCAACACTCACAAGTTTACATGACTGGCTGGAAGGCACCAGATATTACAGGAGTAGGCGTCTGAGCTACAACAGCTGTGATACCTTGCATTTGCCTAACTAGGTAAATTCCCATGTGTTCTGAAATGAGACACATATTTGGGGCTTACAAGGATCTGCAGCGTTTGGGGCGGAATCGTTCGGAGACAAAACGGGCGTTTTAGCACAGAATTACCAAGGACTAGTATTTTTCAGAAGCCTGGAGCTTACGCCTCTCGCTACATATGTAAATATAATTCTATAGCTGAGGCCGCGGGATGCTGCTATGCGCCAACGTACATTGCTATCTCAAAGGGGAGCTTGAGAGAACATCACACCTAGCTGTGCAAAATGGATGCTATTAGGCGAGCAAAGATGATACTACTTTTTTCGAACGTCGGCATTGTTCTGAGCGTTGTAGTTTTCATGGCCGGGTACTTCAGTCCTCCTCAGAAGCTGCCAATTGAAAATGACCTTGAGCAGACTGGGTTGCAAGGAGCTGGAGAGGAGGGACGTTATTCTCAGCAGCCTGCGCCCTTCGACAAAGTCGTCTTTATGGTTATTGATGCGCTACGCAGGTGCGATACCTCAATTACACCTTCATCTCTGCCGTGGGAGCTCAGGCCGGCTAACATCATATTCATACACAGTGACTTTGTCTACGAAGAGGACTCGGGCTTCGGCTTTACACAGAGGTAATCTGCGTCTCCATTACACCAATTCTTTCTCTGACACTCGTACAGTCTCATAAGATCCGGGTCCGCAATTCCATTCACTGCACTCGCTGCCCCGCCAACCCTAACTCTGTCACGGATCAAAGCCATGACCCAGGGAAGCGGGCAATCCTTCCTCGACGCATGGCTCAATGTCATGCATTCCGCCGATGCGAGACGGCTCGTCGGAGAGGATACATGGCTGTCTCGCTTCAAGGCGGAGTGTGTACCGGAAAAGAAGATGGTCTATTATGGCATCGACATGTGGTGTATGTTGTACCCGGAGATATGGGACCGGTATGAAACAGTGGACTCGTTTTATTTACCGGTGAGTTCGCATCCGTGGAATGGAGTCTTGATGGTCTATAAACCAACAATCAGCCCGTCGCAATAGAATTTCAGCGAAGTCGATAGCAACGTTACGAAGGGATTAACATCCGAACTCGACAAAGATGACTGGAAGGGGTTGGTTCTGCATTACCTCGGCCTCGATAATGCCGCTCACTTTGGGGGCGCTGGGAGGTATGTTAATCCTTCCTACTTTACATGCTACCGTTTATGATAAACTCCTGACCCGAAGTCTACAGCTCGATTGTGAGAGCAAAGCAAGTTGAAATGGACGATGTGGTCCGCCAGATATACAACGCACTGGAGGATCTGCCCAGTCACGCCAACACTCTATTTGTCCTAGCTGGCGACCATGGGATGACGGACAATGGCAACCACGGAGGTGACACACCAGCCGAGATTGCTTCTGCGCTGCTCTTCATCTCGCCCAAGTTCGAAACTCTCGGCAACACATTCACGAGTCCTCAGCCGAACAATCCAGAGTTTACCTACTATTCTGTTGTTGACCAAGTTGACATTGTCCCCACGTTGGGAGCACTCCTGGGCTTCTCGATCCCCACCGGAAGTGTGGGAGTTTTTATCAAGCAGTTGCTCGCACTTTTCCCGGAAGTCAGTCAACAGGTGCAAGTCCTGATGCGCAATGCGCGACAGATGGTCAATCTGCTGTTCTTGAAGAATAAAATGGGGGCTTCAATGCGTCTGGAACTGTGCGACAGTAACTGCCATTGCGGTTCCGATAGAGCTCGTCGTGTTCTGTGCCTATGGGAACGGCTGAATGCCGAAGCCTCGGCGACAGTGCAGAGTGAGGATTCCAATATGCACAGTTTAGACTTGCTACAGGAGGTAAGCCAATTTGGCCATGAGCAGCACACGTGGATGTTGAAGTAACTTGGACTAGATTTGCTTTGACGCCCAGCAAGCTCTTGGCGTGGCACACAATAATCTCAACATGCGTCGCATGGCCACAGGCATAGGCCTTTTATTTCTGGTGGTCATCTCTCTACTTTCATCATTGAGCTTTCGGAAAAGCGAGCAGAGTGATCTTCATCGGTTGATGCCCGGAGCCGTCGTACTTTTCCATGGCATCACAATGTTCTCTAGTCGCCTAGTGGAAGAGGAGCACCTTTTTTGGTATTGGACATCTCTAGCATGGTTTGTATATCTGGCCCTCAAATGGTATGACTAACCAGCTATGCTATTCCGCTTTCGTGGATGATATTTCTAACCAATATCTAGGTTACCAACAGCGACAAGCAAGGCTGGCGCAATCTTTGTGCCTCTTCTTCACATTGTCGGCCAAAGCTTGAATCCAGCTGGGGAAACCTCTTGGGGAGCCGGCAAATACCTGCACGGCTTCCTCGATAATAGTCCAGTATGGCTCTGGATCCTGGCAGCGGGTGCACATGTACTGGCCGTGCGAACGTTATCCGAAGCTATCGGCGTCGCCGTCGGGGTCGGAAAATACGCCTCAATGTTCGGTGCGTGCTTGGTGTGCGGCTTGACGGTGTTTTTCAAGATATGCTCGACACATACCTTCAACCCAGAGCTCTTGGAATTTTTGCCTCCATGGCTCCAGTCAACCTTTAACGAGGATGTTGGAAACCAGGCCCTTTGGTCATTGTGGAGTGGACTACTGGCTCTATGCATCGTCTTGCTTGTCCGCCGTCGTGCAGGGACTATCAACGTGAGCCAAGCGACTAGTCGAGGTTGGTCTCTTTACCAAGTAAGAGGTTGGCTTATTGCTAATGATATCTGCTGCTATTAGCTATTCTTGTTGGAATTGTCGAGCTCGTAAATGTATATCTGCGCGCACAAGCACGACCAAAGAGTCTCATCCTCTTCCTAATCTTCGACCTGCAATTGCAATGGCTCCGTATGTTTTCTCAACCCTTTCCTGCTTCAGCCTTACTGACCCTGCGCAACATCTCAGTGTCGGCATCCTCAAAAGCCCAGACAGACGCCTCCACAGTATCCCTCACGGTCCTCCTCCTCACCCAAAGCGCCTTCTTCTCTGGCGGCCGCAGCAACTCCCTCGCCTCATTAGATATGATGAACGGGTACAACGGCATCTCGCATACTGACAGCATGTTGAATGTTATCCTCGTCTCGCTCCAGACCATTCTAAGTAATTGGCTTGGTCCGGTATGGTGGTCGCTCGCTGGGCTGCGGCTCCTAAGCGAAGCAACCGCATCAAAGAACCGTGACGCAAGGGTGCAATGCTTTCTAGAGTATTGTACATACCAAGCACTCTATTCGGCAGTCAGTTCTCTTGCCGTTATGATGTCATGTCTTTGGTGGCGTGATGATGGTGTCCTGTGGACGGTGCTCGCACCGAAGTATGTCAATGTTGCGCTTTGGGCTGGATTCCACCAGTTGCTGGTTAATGGGCTTTTGGGCATGGCATTGTGGTTTGGCATTGTGGTGTAGGGCGGTTGCATCGATAGTGTAAGACGTTGGGAGAATATTTGTGATAGATTCTACTTCTATTATATCCTCTAGAAGATGTTGCAGTTTCCGAGTTGAGGTAGGCAACCTATATATCTCAGACTTATCCCTGGCGTCGACATAAAAAAAGAGGAACTCTGATTTCTAGTATCGAGATCACTTCTTCCCCTCCAAGAGACGCTGCACCCACTCCGTCTGCACCTGATTGACATTCCCCTGATGCGCACCCTCCAGAATATCCATGTGAACGGCGCCCTGCTGTACATACAATTCCTTGTCCGGCGTCATCAAAGTCTCAAAATGCCTCTTCTGCGTCTCCGTTCCCACAACCGCATCCTGTTCAGCCAGAACAAAGAGCACAGGACTCTTAAGATACTTCCACATATGACTTGGCTCCCAAAGCAGCATATTCCGATAAGTGCCCACCGTCGTACGGTTAACATGGTTGGGCGCCAGCTCAGCCCTGAGCGGGTCATTTACGTCTTGCGTATTGAGCAGCCTGATGGCAACCTCGCGCTCAAAGCCCAGGTTAAACCCGGCCGGGTTCTCGCCCGTTTTCGTGAGCATGGGGACGTAAAATGGATCATTGCCTTTGAGGCGGGACTCGCGGTCCTGCGCGGCTTTGGCGAGCACGGCAGACAGTTTTGGCAGGTTCTGCGTGGCACCGACGACGGGGCACACTGCGACGGTGAAGCGTGCGCGTGGGTCCAGGGCCGAACTCACGAGGGCAATGCTCGCGCCTAGTGACATGCCCCAGAGGCCTACGCCTTGGGAGCGGTCGATGTTTGGGTGGGAGAGGAGGAAGGTTAGAGCGTCGGAGAGGTCGTCGACGCTTTGGAAGGGGTTGATGTCGTTGCGGGGGCTGCCGTCGCTGAGGCCGACGCCACGAGGGTCGTAGATTAGGGCTGTGATGCCGGCACGTTGGAATGATGCTGCTGTTGTTGGGAGGCCGAGCATCTCTTTGGTTGCGTTGAACTTGGATATCCCATTAGAAGAAGAATTGTGTCATTTTGGGGGGAAGGGGAGTTGTTGGTCGTACGTACGCCAGGAGTCATGATGATTCCTGGTCCTCGCTCGTCAGCAGGGAAAAGACATCCTCGAAGGATTGTGTTGTCGAGAGTGCGGAACTCGATGTTTTGGTGGGAAGGCATCTTGTGAGAGGCTATACGTGGTAGTACTGAGAGGAGCGAAATGGACAAAGTTTGCCTCTGCTCTCTATAGACCTGGAAGAGATGTCTGCGAGAGGCTCCTGGCTCCGCTGCGGCAAAAGGTATTTGCATATTTGGTTACTAGTTGCAATTGTTCGTACTGTAAATTTCAATTCTCAGCTTATGGTGCCACCATTCCTTCGTGTGTCGCCAGCTTGGACTGGACCGGCCGGTCACAAGAGCAGATGCCACTCCTGGATTAAGCTGGATTTGCTTTCTGACACACACGTAAGCAGAGTGCCTGTTGCAAGTGTTGGAACCAGGGGTCTGATAGGCGGGACGCAAGGTCCGACGTTTAGTTTGACTCAGATCATCCTATACTAGTATACTACTTGGCGTCTCTTGTTGGTGATTGCCTTACCACCCCACACGAAGCCATCCGAAGCCATCCGACCTGAAGGTGGGATCTTATCTTATATCAGCGAGTCAACATGCACGGCCAACAGGATAATCGAGTGATCTACGGATTGATCAAGGCACGCCATGCGTGGGGTTGAGCTAGCGCCGAGAGTTAGTGCTGAGCACATCAATAAGTGTAAACAAGGCCCTACTGCATCTAGCTATTGCTATCCGCCTATTACATACTAGTTGGCTATCTTGAAACTCCTCAGTAGCGTGTTGCTCGCGTGCTCATGGCTACTCCATGTCGGAGCTTTTGAGAACAATATAATCCGCACCTTCGGAGATTACATGACTCTATGCAAGATATTCAGACATCGGAGTTGGTCAACTTGGTAATGAGATTGATTATGAAAAGACTTGTAGCGCTAGTAGGTCGACGTACAGTACTGCAGAGAACATTATATTATCTTGATACTTACAAGAGGAGTAGGAAATCTAAGATATCCATCCTAAGATAGGTACCTAGCATTCACTACCAACCACGATTATCTGTTGGAGTACTGGCGGCTGGTTTATTGCTGATTGTTGCAATCAGCAATCAGCAATCAACAATCGTTACCTGATCGAGATGCGTGCATACTAGGAATGGCACGGGACCGGGGGGTTGCCACCTGGTTAGGGCTGTCTGGGGAACCAGGCCCTTGGCAAGATAGATATGAAACACAAAAATGTAGCGAATAGTTGACTATTTAGTTAGCAATCAATAGTAGTGCTGATTTTATCTACGCGTAGTATAACCCATCATATGATTCAATGTCGAAGCACTAACCGCTAGACCAGAAACAATTGATATCGCGTCTAGTCAGCCAGGCGACGGAAAGATATGTGTCCCAACATCCGATCAAATGTATACGAAATAACAGTTATTTGAGTTGTATTCTTATATATATGATAGAGACTCTGTGCATCCACAGAGTCAAGCTTTGAATCTATCCTTTATAACTCTCGTATCCGGTGGCAGTTATCACGGTAGTAGGGAGCCAGTTCTTTGATGGGAGGTTTCTTTTTGAGCAGGATCAGCATGAAATCAAGTTTCCATATAACATCAGCTGGAGGACACGTCATCTGATTGAGCAAAATACTAGTGGATGAGTCTTACAGCACTTGCGCTAGCCCTTACAATTTCGGTACATTCTCCGTACCTTCGTCTGGCTCCATGATATACTCTGGAAGTAGTGCAATCAATACGGATTGATTTCCATACATGTGGCTTGCTCTCAACAGGCTATACCCCTTGTCTGGCCCCCATTATTGCGGGGGAGGCCAGGATAATCTATATCTGTTATTGATTAGCTTGGACTTTGCGACAGTAGAGCATTATGCCATGGGATGCGCTACTTTGATCACTCACAGTCCGAAATGCGTTGGCGTTTGCGCACACCTGATAGGACGAACAAGTGTAGAAAGATGGAACGTTGGGTTGTAATGGATGCCAACGATAGCCAGAGAGAGCATCGGGACAGCATGGCCGAGTCCACTATATGTAGCGAGGGTGATACTGGCGTTATACCTCTATCTAACTTCGAATCATTCTGATCTGCAGTACAGTTGGCAAAATGTCCGACTTCACAAACGGTAACATGAATGGACATCCCAAACTCAATGGAGTTGGTGGCACAAACCATGCCCCGAGCCAAGGTTCTCACGGGGAGTTTTCCAACAGCCGCAGTCCCTACATCCAAGAGCCTGTGGCCGTGGTTAGCATGGCCTGCAGGCTGCCAGACACATGTCACACCCCGCGAGCCTTCTGGAAATTCCTCGAGCAGGGGCGAATTGCAATCAACACGCCCCCAGGCACTCGGTACTCCCTGAACACCCATTACGATGGCTCACTAAAGCCGCAAACTATGGCTTCCCCAGGTGGTATGTTCCTACAAGATGTCGATCCCCGCGATATCGATGCCCAATTCTTTCACCTTTCCGGAATAGAGGCAACCTCTATGGATCCGCAGCAGCGTCAATTGCTAGAGGTTGTCTATGAGGGCCTCGAAAACGCAGGCGTCACTTTGGAGCAACTCGATGGGGCATCGGTTGGCTGTTTTGTCAGCTCGTTCGCCAGTGATTATGGCGACATGCAGGCGCGAGACCCGGAGAACCGTGCATCAGCCACTGTTGTTGGGGTTGGTAGAGCCATGCTCAGCAACCGTCTCAGTCACTTCCTTAATATCAAAGGGCCAAGGTGCGTTGTTTGCATTCCAAGAAAACATAACTATGTAGGCCGCTACTAAAGTACCCGCTAGTATGACAATCGACACTGCCTGCTCCGGGGCTCTTATCGGGATTGACCTTGCTATGAAATATCTTCAGTCCAAGGAGATAGACTCGGCGATTGTTGCTGGCGCCAACCTATACTGCAGCCCCGAGCATGTCATGGATCATTACATGGGCGCGAATGGCGCCGCGTCGTTATCAGGGCGTTGCCACACGTTCGACTCCAAAGCAGACGGATACATCAAGGCTGAGGCAGTTAACATGGTGTATTTGAAGCGTCTGAGTGATGCCATCAAGGAGAAAGATCCTATTCGCGCCATCATTCGTGGAACTGCTACCAACAGCGATGGCTGGACAGCTGGCATCGCGAGCCCCAACCCCGAAGCCCAGTCGGCTGCTATACGACAGGCTTATAAGAATGCTGGCATAGCTGACCTCTCGCTGACGAGCTACGTTGAATTTCACGGCACTGGGACAAGAGCGGGTGATTCTCTAGAGGCAAACGGGGTTGCCACCGTCTTCACGCCATTTCAAGCACCCGATCGCCCTTTGCGAATTGGCTCGGTGAAAAGTAATATTGGTCATTCGGAGCCGGCGGCCGGTCTATCCGGACTGCTGAAGACTGTACTCAGCATAGAGCACGGGGTCATTCCTGGGAATCCGACGTTTATCGATCCTAGCCCGAAGATTGATTTCGCAGCATTGCGGTTGTATACTTCGCGGACACCCACTACCTGGCCAGAGGTTCCCTTCCGGAGAGCCAGCATCAACTCGTTTGGGTATGGTGGCTCGAATGCCCATGTCATCGTCGATGAGGCTAAGGACCTCGGTCACCATCATGTCTCTTCTTATGTAAACGAGGAGACAGATGACCTATTTGCGGAGGAATCAGCGACTCGACCTTATCTTCTAGTCTTTTCCGCAAACGATGAAAAGGCGCTGGACGCCCAAGCCGCTGCATTGGATCGTCACCTGTCCGATCCGGCTGTCAAAGCCTCTCTTCGTGATCTTGCGTATACTTTGAGCGAACGGAGATCTCGCCACTATCACCGCTCCTTTACAATTACGAACAGCACCACTCTAGACCTTGCCACTCTAAACCAAGGCCATATATCTGAGCAGAAGCCCAAGGTTGGGTTCGTCTTTACAGGGCAGGGTGCC